CTATCTATCTATCTATCTATCTATCTATCTATCTATCTATCTATCTATCTATCTATCTATCTATCTATCTATCTATCTATCTATCTATCTATCTATCTATCTAATCTTACCTGCTGTCCCAGAATAGTCGGCAACGGTGACTGGGTAGCCATCTTCTTCGGGGTCAACTGAAAACAAGCCCACAGAGAAGGTGCCGTAATGGGCGAAAGCAGTGGCATTGTCAAAATCCTCGAGGTCGATGCGCAGCTCATAGCCGGCTTGGGTGGTCAAGGCATGGATCCGCTTCAACCCTAGAAGGGGGTAAAAGAACGAGACAAAGTGGGCACGAAGCGCCCGCCCCTCTGTGGCACCCTCACCGAGGGAGGAGAGGTCGGTAGCCAAAAAGCAGGTATTTTCTATTCTGTTCCTTTGGATTTAAAACGTATCTGTTAAAAAAAAAAATGGAGGTCCTGCCTTTCTGGACTTCCATGAAAACACAGTAATTTCCATAAAACTACATTGGCCTTGTTCCCAACGAAACTGATCTCCTTGCCCCGCCACCACCTGCTGGAGGGTTAATCCACTTGCAGCAGATGGTCGCCTCTTTCACCTGCAGAGAGGCCGGAAGTCTTTGAGACCAAGTCATAAAGTCTGGGTCCCTATTAATAACAAGCGTTTTGCTCTCCGGGAAAAAAAATGGAATGGGTGGATGGTTTCTGAATCCGAGTCATTGAGGAGTTGGCGGTGGAAACACCTGAGTCAAGTCACTGGTGCGGCTTAAGTCCGACTTGAACAGCATGCCCCACGACTCGAGTTCCCATCCCTGGGAAAATGGAAGAGGTGCGCAGACTAGTGGATGGGGAACTTCCTTTGAGAGTAATTTACGTTTCATTCGCCTTTGTGTCAAAGTGCCTCCGAGCGTCGCCGTTCTAGGCAGGGCAAAAAAAAAAAAGTCCCTGCTCACCATTTTGCATGATTTCCCCATTCAAACCTCTTGGTATCCAGCTGTTTCCTTGGGGGGGCCTCTGTGACAGATGCCGAGAGATGGGACTTCATGATCTATCTATCAGGACGACGAAAGTGGCTCATGTCTCCACAGGGGGTGGGCGGGGGGAGAGCCGCCCTCTCCCGTCTTTTCCATTATCTCTTGATTAAGAAGTGATTTAATTAAACATCACAGGAGTTGTCATCTGTGTTGGTTTGCAGCCGGGGCGGGATCCTTGGCACGCTCTCTATCAAGTCCCTCTCTCTGTGTACTTCTTGTTTAGCAGGTTTTCACATTACGTTGGCTTGACTGATTCTGGTGGTGAGGCCGGTTTCCCGGGGATCATTTCTTCGTCTCTTAAGACAGAAGCGAAAGACTAGGGATGTGGCGAATACTTAGAAAATTCACACGTTTCCCAAGTCTCATCAGGCTGGGATTTCTTACCAAGCCTTTCCTCTGCACCGTGAGGAAGCTTTCCCAGTCCTGTGGATCCCCCCAAAAGTGGATCTTAGGGAGAGCTGCTCTGATAGGTAGCAAGATCACAAACCCTGCTTCTAACAAAGCACCCACTCTTCATCCAGAAAGCGAACGATGGGTCCTGCCTGATGTTCTCTAGAATTGTGATAGATTTAGAGAGCCCTACCTAGCCAGTGTTCTCCCGTCAGCTTCCCAAATCCGTCTCTGTATGCTTCCCACCCGCGGAAGAAATTCACGGAACCGTCCTCGCGCCTCTGGAAGACCTGCGGAGACACAAATTGGGGGGCGGGATGAATGATCCGGAAGGACCCGAGAGTGAGCCAGCTAAGCAAGTAGGGGCGACGAGCCTCTTATCGGCTCCATCCATGCCTCTCCCGTGAGCCCACTACTGTGGGCTAGCTGGAGGAGCTCTGTAGTGGCTTATTAGATGCGAGTGCAAAATGCAAATTAATTCAAACCTTTTAAATTGGTTAATTACACTGGAATGGCTCGGCAGAAAAGAAGGCTGCCTGTCAGAATTAATGGGCTGTTGAGATCAGCGCTCAGAATGCTGCTTTGTAGACGATGCTGCTGCTGAAACCTGTGGCTAGGCCAGAGCTGGAAATTTAACTAGTTAGCAATAAATGCGTTCCTTGCCATTTATTTATTTACTTATTTATTTCAACTTCTATACACCCCATAATGGAAAGCACTCTCTGGACAGTTCTCAGCATAGGTACACAAATAATCTTTAAAACATGCAGTGCAAACATTGTGTTTAAGCAAATGAAAAGAGTCTTTTTAATTGCTTTTCATAGTGAGAAAGGAAAAGTTACTTTGAATCTATTACTGCATTGTAAGAATTTTGGGGCAACCAGGAACCATAATTAGTTTTAACATTCCTTTCAAAATCTTATTTTTTAAAAAAAATGAGATGTATCCGTGTGCTTGTCGTCTTGTTTAACACCAAAGTGAAAACGTGAACGTTAAAAGTATCAAACCTCTAACCCACTGTTTCCAAACTAATATTTGCAAGTAAACATTTAAAATTAACATTAAAATGGCTTGCTAGTTTCCAAAGGTAGTGCCTATATTATTGCACCACAGAGTTTCAAATTGCAAACATCAGCTCTCCTCTAAGGAGATCAAGGCTTCTGGTAGAATTTGACAAACTGCTGACTCAGAGAAACCCATTGTGTCATATATTGTGTGGAAGGAAATCTAACTTTCCAGCTTGAGAGATTGCTGTAGAAAGAATCGTTCCTACATCCTGGTCAGTTTATTATATTCTTGGCACAAGAAGATCTGTGATTTCCACTTTTTTTCTCCTCTCCTGTTTCACTTTGTAAAATCTCATGCTATTTTCATTCTGAATGTGGAAAAAAAGCATGCAAATGCTGATAAACAAAACTGCGACAAAAATTCTCATCCCTTTCTATGCGAGGAAGGAAGTTGGTCTCCGTCATGTAGATTCTAATAAGGAAAGGGTGACCTTAGGATAAAATTTTAGTCTACCCGCTCTCTCCTTTTCCCCATTTTTTCCAACAAAATGTGTGCTGAGATTCGTTTTGGGATGCAGTCCGATGGAAAAAGGCCTCACCTTTTGGGCTGCTTGTGTTGTGATTTCCATTTCTTGATGACCACATGACCTACAGAGAATTGTGTTCCAGGTCAAACACGATCCATGCCCAAGAGGTACCTTTTTGATCCAGCGGTAGGGCTACTATTTGGGGACTGGGGGGTGGGGCTGAGCCGGAGTGTTTTCCTGATAAGAGTCATTTCAAAGGAGGTTGCTGCTGCAAGAATGACCCATTCCCCCAGTGTCACCAGAGGTGCACTTTTGTGTCCATCTGATGACACCTTTAGGTACCTAGACCAGCAGTCAATACACCTAAGACGGTGAATTTGTCCTTTGATTTTGAAAAGAAGAGGGAGGGAGGGAGGAAGCGACCTATTCCTGTGGCCATCACCCTCTTCCTGTTAGTAGTTAATTCTTCAAGTTACATGCATCCTGTGTAAAGTAATTCCTTAGGCAGCCCATTACACTGGCTGATACAGACAGAGTTCTTGCATTCTGGGAAAGAGAGCTCACCCCCCCCTTTCCCAGATGATCTTTCTGCTCCTCTCTCTGATTCATTTCCCTCCCCCTCTCCGTTCTTTCCTGCAAAACATCTTCCCCATGTTCTCTGTGCTCCTCTGGACAGCTCTTCCTCCACAGATTTGGGCAATTTCATGCTGCATAAACGACCTATGATTACATTATTGCAGTGTCAGGATGCGGAGCGCTGCCTTCTCGGCATATGCTTCGAAATCCCGATGCGGTTCTGTGCCTGCATGATGGCCTTATTAGGGGGGCAGCCGAGAAGGGGTCTGCCCAACTATTTATATCTCTTTCGCACCAGGTTTGTGCACTAAACTTTGAAATGGAAAGAAGCAGTTCTTAAAAAGAGAGAAATTTGATTGATTGATTGATTGATTGAAAATATTTCTATCCCGCCTTTCTCCTTAGAAAGGGTCCAAGGCAGCTTATATCCTTGAAAGACAATATTTAAACCTGAAAACAGTGAGTATACAATGGTAGTTCGCATCATTAAACAGCAATATTTAAAGCTAAGGACAGTGAATAAGCATAAAGAGGCAGCCTACATCATTAAAAGACAGTATTTAAGTTAAAAACAACAAGTATGCAAATATTAAAAAGGATCAGATAAATGCCACTCCGAGAGACAGTAAACACAAGTACTAAAGACCCAGTTGGAGCAGTAATGCATAATAATCCATTTAAAAGTCACACTCAGATAGCCAGCCATGTAGGCAGTCGCTCATGTAGGCTGTTACCGAGAGAAAGAAAAAGGTCTTTGCCTGCTTTCAGAAGGAGAGAATAATCCCCTGACATTTTAACTCAAACTTTTTTTCCTATATATTCTTGCGCTCCTTCCAAAGGTATTGTTGGCAAAACATGCTGAAGACATTCAAAATTACAAATTTATTTCTGCCATGGCTGAGAAATTCAGCAGATGGAACTGATCATAAATATCTTCCATGAACGTGAAAGGAAACGTACTGTATCCACCATGTAAGATACTGGTCCAGCTTTCAAATGCTTCGCAAATATCAGGGTTTTACTGATGCAAATGTTCTTGTCCTTTTTTTAAAACAAAGTTTTTTCAGTCTTGCTGAAGTGGGGGAAAAAAGTCTTGCAAAAACAAAAAGAGGCCAATATTTTACCACCATGGCTTTTTGCACAAAACATTTTGTATAAAAACAGAATACAAGGTTTCTGTGCAAAATTCAGTCTTTTTTGGTGGAGGGGGGAAGCTTCTGCAACTTTTTCATAAAGTTCCTCTTCAAACGCACACAGCTTCTCACAGTGTCACCCTTCAGGGAGAAAAACTGATTTTTTTTCCTTGTTCACCCGCAGGGACGAAATGAGCCATTTATGGCACCGAATGGGTGGGGCTTTCGAGATTCTCGTCTCATTTTACCTTCTGCGAATGTCATAGTTCATATATTAACCCAGTCTTGCATACAGTTTTAAAATGTGAGTGTGCTGTTGAAAAAAATACACACGAATATATGCTAGTGGGGAAACTACATGCATTAGGAGAGGGTGAGCATAAAGGGAAATGTGTTTACATAATACAAATTAATTTCCCCCCTGGGGGAGAGAGATGTTTTGCAGCCTGACTAATATGAACCAAGGACAAAGGCGTTGTAAAAATATTTTAAATTTTAAAAATAAATCAATAAGGGGGGAGGGAGGAATGGAGATTAAGAGTTCTTTACATCCCATCAGGAGACGTTGAATGCTCCTACACTGGAGGTCTTCAGGAGAAAATAGGGCCACCATCTGTCAGATCTGCTTTGTCTTGGATTCCTGCCTTGAGCAGGGGGTTGGAGTCAATGGCCTTAGAGACCCCCTTCCAACTCCATATGCTAGGATTCCAATCATTGTATCTGGAATTGTTTCTGATCTAACATGGTTTGGGAAGAAGCATTAGCAAGCTGTTACTCTCTGCTGTTGAATCCCTTTCAGCTCAGGGTTACCCTAATATGGTTGTTGATGTATGTGAGTTGTTGAAGGAGTGTTTTTTCATTGCCGCCACCACCACCCATCAGCATCCACGGCCCAGCCGGGATTTGAACCCAGGTCTCCTAAATTCTAGTCTGTCACTCAATCCATAGCACCGCACCGTCTTTCAATCACAAGCTGGAGAGAGAGAATGACTCATGTGAACTGTAGCTGGTGAACATTTTTCCCCCTTTAGGATCGACCTTTGAATGTTCAAATGTGTAATCTACACATTTTCCCTATGTTTAAAATTATCTTCTCCCCTTAACATTTATGAAGAAATCCACACTGCTGGAAAGATTCTAGCAGAAAAGAAATGAACCAAATATTCAGTGATCCTTATCTGGAAAAGGCCTGCTTCCAAGTCTGGAGAGGGTAATATTGTTTCTGCCTGCCACGTGGCTCTTAAGAACGTTCAAGACGTAAACTCCCAACATGCTAAAGAAGTAAGTAAGTCTGCTTTTAGTTCTTCTCACTTTCAAACATTTTTTTCCTGCTGAATTTGTGGTCAAATGTGATTTCTAAAAAGTTGTTGTTTAAAAAAAAATCAAACAAAATTCGCATTCATCCCAAATGACGGCCACCATAAAGCGCTCGGTTTTTCTGACAGCCTGGCTCTGTCAAAATAGAGAATTATTCTTTACACTGAATAGACGTCCCAGCACTCAGTTTTATGAGTTTGGAGGCATTATAGTTTAGGATGGGATGGGAGCAGAGGAAAAGCCCCGGCCTTGTGGCTCTTGTCCAGCGTACTGCCTCAGATCCGTGCAGTACTTACCTTCTAGAATTAGCGACTTAATTTTTATCCGGCCGTTGAGCGCTTGAGAAGCTGCCGTTAAGCCCCTTTGAAAGAGCTTTCGGCTTGAATCGGTTGATGGCAAAAGGGACACATTGGCTAGGGACGCCCCCCCCCCAAGCTAATTGCTATGGAGGGCACCGGTTTTTATTGGCTGAGAGAGACCCGTGCACCGTGGAAGGAAAGAGAAGGAAGGTTGTGAGAGCAGGCGATAATGCAGTTAATCTACTTTGACCTCGGGCTCTAAAGTAGGCCAGTTGTCCGTGGTGCTTACAGAGAAGGGTTTGGACAGGCTTGGGGGTATTAGAGAGAGCTCGCTCGCCCTCTTTTCCTTCCTCCCCTGACATGTAAAGGCCTGATTACACAAACGCCTTGGGAGATTAATAGCACATAGAACTTTACTGACAAACACCTCT